TAAAAATAATGAGCGTCGAAATTTAAAACGCGCAACGGCCAAGAAAACATATGTACCCTTGTACATTGCACGCACATATACCAGATTATACCATAAACTCACATCTTTACCAAAAAACGCACCTCTTTTTCCCGTTTAAATTTTTTTTAAGCCACGTCTTTTATCGGCAAAAAACCAAATATACCGTTGTTCACGATTTTTCGTCATCCTTCCATAAAGATTCATGTTGATATATAAAAAACAAACTTTTTTCTCGAAAAAAACTCACTTCGTTTTATTGTGTTTTTTCAATATTTAAGTTTATTTTTATCAAAAAAAAAACTAATTATACCAAAATTTTCAATTATTTGTCTTCTTTAATTACCATCAACATCGGATAAAAAAAATTCGATCAGTTCAGCTTCTCACAGTGTGAATCGAAACTTTAAATATTTCAATTTTAAAAATCACAATGTGAATCTGACTTGCTGTTATTCACATTGTGAATCTGTGTAATGTAAATCTATAATGAAACTTCGCTTTTTTTAATTAATTTTTTCTATCTATATGAATCTATGTTTAAAGAGTACAAAAAACATGAATTTTGATATATTTGTTATATTTTTTCGATAAAAAGTAGACCATAACTTTTCGAAAAACAAAGAAATAAAGTGAGTTTTTTGAAAAAAAAATTCATTTTTTTGTATATCAATATTGATCACTATATATATATATATTCTAATTTTTCTTAATAACTTTGATTCGTTAACTTAAAAAATTTACTTTTTATATGCTTATTTTTATGTATTTATCGGTATAAATTTAAAACTTTCGAGTCACTTATAATACATTTATTATTATTATTTTAACTTTCGTTTAAAACAACTAATTTCACTTGGTTAATTTAAGTACGTATCGGTATAAATTTGAGTTTGTTATGTTTCGACGCACAATTTGTGTACAATTTTAGGCTTTTTTTCAGGTACCTTTTCTACATATGAGTTTGGTCATAATAATACGTTTTCATTTGACGATATAAATTGTAGTTAGTAAGCGGTATCCAACCTTCGGTGGATGTTTCCACCAACACTTGCCACCGTGCTACTTTATGAAACGAGACTTTTCAGCCTTCTACTATCTAAAATGTAACTTCCAGTCCTTCATTTTACCCTTCCATTTTTAAAAGATCCGTTTTTAACACCTATATTGTATATAATATGATTTTCTTATAACTAACATCTATTAACTTTATCAAATGTCATTTTACCGTTCAGCTATGAACTTTGTAATGTTACTTTCCTCCATCAACTTTGTAATTTTTCGGGTTTATCCCATCTACCAACAATTTTGTCAGCGATACCGCCCTTATACACTTACCAAAAAATAAATACTGTGATACCTAACTTTTAACAGTACAATTGTCAAAATTCAATTTTATAAAATATATTTGAGCTGTAACGTACTGCGGGCAAAATAGCAGTTTTATTCATAAGTTAATGATGTATAGTGTTATTTAATTTCATGATAAGGCGATAAAGAAAGTATAT